CATCAGCCTGTGGGAGCTGGGAGACCCTCAGATCCCAGAGCCACAGTAACACTGTGCTGCCTCTGAGGAGGTCAGCTCATTTCCAGAGCTACGGGGTGCAAAGCAGGAATCACTGTAGACCCTGGTCAGCTAAACTTTCTCCTGCACAGTAGGAATTATTTTTATTGAACCATATGTCTTTATATTGTATCTAGGTTTCTGCTTTATTTTTCTTTGCAGGCTTACCACTAAGACAATACTTCCTGCAAAAGTGGCAAGTCATTCATCATACTAGCTAAGCTTTTGGATAAAAGGACATAAAGCAATGAATTCTACAACAAACTGGTTAACTCAAGAAGTGTGCTCACAATAATAAGGAAATGAAATTCAAATGAAGGTGTTTCTATTCTATGTTCCTGGGTTAACACACTCTTTTTTCTAGTGTCAGACAATTTTTCCTATGAAGACATCAGGACATAACAGGTACTTTGGAAAAAGTAAAAACCATAAATTTGCTTAAGTTATAGCTTTTAAAATCAAATATGTCCCTATAACACATTTTCTCTGAGAATTTAAAAAGGTGCTTATGTGTTGTCTGTCTAATGCTGGAATTTTCCTACACACATGGAGGAACATACTGAAAATATCAATTCAATCTAAGTATGACAAGTTATTTCCAAAGTTTTAATGTAATGACATTTATATTCATTTAGGAACAGCAAGGACACTGAAACTCAGGGTACTTTCTTCAAACTGTACCATAAGAAAAATTCCATAGTAAAATTAGCTGTCCATTTTCCATCCTGTAACAGCTAGTGCGTGTGGGGCAGCGCTGACGATGGGGTCCCTCAGGCTACTCTGGCTCAGAGTGTGCAGGAGGAACATCTAACATGATTTTGATTTTTTTTTTCTTCCCTCTCAGTTATCCTCTGCTCTGAGAACAGTGAAAGAATGTGATGCTAAGTCCTGAGTGACTGTCCTGAGATTCTCTGAAGAAAACATTCCTTTGCACATGCTCTGCTCTGGAACAGCAAGCCCTAACACTCCTTTGCGTTAGAATGCACACTGTGGCTGGCTAAGGCTCTTACACTGTTTAATGGCGGAGTAGAGGATGGAACGGTCCACTAAAATATTCAGTGTTTGAGATACTTCAAAACATTTTCGCAGAAATGGAAACTCATTATTACACATGCAAGGATGCATGAAAAGAATGCTTACATGGTTGAGTATTAGATGTATGAGATGTCCAAGTTGTTGGTGTTTTGATATAATAATCCTGATTCTGATTGTGAGGAAAAATTGGAATTTCGGCAGGCGATGTGCTTCCAGGCCCAGCTGCACCAGGGGATCTACCCAGGAGCGCAGGTAGCGGATCACCACGTTCAAAAGTTGTTCTTGCTATGCAGCCAGTTTGCAGCGATCAAAATAAAATAAGTGAAACATAGCTGAATTAGTTACATGTGACTTTGGCTCAGTGAGGTGGAAGTAATATAGATCCTTGCTCTTCATGAGAGTTTAAAATTTTCTGGAGATGACAGAAGATTTAAGAAACATATAGTTTAAATGTCTGGCCTATATTGTACTGCAGAAAAACCAACCAAGAAAAGCTAAGGAAATAACTCATTATTTTCTTGTGAGAATTCAATCAGACACCGCTAGTGTAGCTTCCCTATGAAATACTCTCTCTTTAGTGAAAATAATGCTAAGATTTTCTTTCTGTGAGGGATTTTTAAGAGACAGGCATTAACCACAAAGAAGCTAGAGCTGGGATAAATGATAGAGGGGAATGCGGAGAGTTTGTTTCATCAGGACACAGAGCAGAGTTGCAACTGTGAGAACCGCGACTCCATACAGAACAGGACAGCACAGCGGGGAGACTTTCAGTTGTGACGTGGGCAGAGGAGGAAAGCATTGAGGGCAGGTGAAGAAGTCGCATGTGAGAAGCTGAGGCAGAACCAAAGCAGAGTGCTGAAAGTCCAGGAGAGATGGCGCAGAACAGACCGGGGCCGGCAATGTAAACACCGCAAGAGCAGGAGGCCCAGGTAACTTCCAGTCAGAAGCCATGAACAGGCACATCTTACATATGTATTGGAATATCCAATTAATTCAGACTTCATAGGGCATAGTACATTCAACTCCAGACACAAGGCATTCATGAAAGTAACATGATCTGCAAGGTCAATTTCTGGTTCCAGTACAATATTTAACTTCGTTTTTGTGTATAATTGACCAACTACTTAGCACACTTTTTCTTTGCCTGCATACTCTTGCAGCATTTTCCTCCGCAGGTTTGAATGCTGCTATCATGACTGCAGAGTCTCCTAGAGCCCGAGGCAGGACACACCAGTGCAGCTGAACTCACCTTCATCATCCGGGCCTCCCTCTTCTCATGAGGAGCAAGGATATCAGCTGTATGGCAACTTTTCATCGCTGGGAAAAAGTAGGTAGAATCCTTGGAATATTGTTTCTCCTGAAAATAATTAAGAATATTTCAGCAGTATGGTGTTACATATTGAAAACATGAATTTATTACTAAATTATGACTAAATTTGGTGAAATTATAACTTTTTTAAAATGTAAGAGATACATAAAATAAAATTTAAAGAATTATGAAAGTGACTATTTAGCTTGGTGTTTCCCATAAGTATAATCACACGATTTTTAACACATTTTCTAATCTCTCCAACACATTCCTTCTTGGCTATGCCCTGGTTGTCTCATCCTTCCGTAAAATTCTAAGTCTAATATTAGCATGAACTGCAAACTTTTAAGTGCTTGAATTATGATTTTCTCTGGTATATAAGCTAAAATCATCCTGTGTAGGCATCCATATCTTCATATTTAATATCTTTTCTATGGGTACAAAGTGATATTTTCCTTTAAATGTGGATGAATTATACTCTTCCTTCAATTAACCCTTAACTCATAAAGAAGAATATTACCAACTTCATCATAAATACAAAATACAAACATTTTATTGCAGCAAGATAAGTAATGAAATGTAACAAATCATCATAAAAAATTGTAAATAGTAGTTCAACATGAAAACCAAAGAGGAGGGGCTGGGGATTTAGCTCAGCGGCAAAGCACCTGCCTGGCAAGTGCAAGGTCGTGAGTTCCGTTCCTGGTACCAGAGAAAAAAAAAAAAAAAAAAAAAAAAAAAAAAAACCAAAGAGGAATACACTGAGTAGTATTAAGCCAAAGTAGTGAAAATTGTGCAAGTTTAAAGGTATTGATATGATGACTTGGAAGACACAAAATGTGCACTAGAAAACGGGGAATAAAAGAAACAATAGTAAATGAAATTAACTGTGTGAATAGTGTATATCGCAGATATTAGGCCTTGTTATCTATGGAAAACTTAGTTGTTCTAAACCCTAACCTCCTGTCTGTTACATAGGAGAATACACACAATGTTCCAAGTAATGGAAGGGGTGAATTCTGTCCTCTTGTGAGCTAACCTATTACTTCCAATTATAAACTTCATTCTGAGAATATTTGAACAAAGAATACAAGCATTTGGAGTTTCTAAATGCTATTAATTTGACATTTTTTCCTCTGAGATGACTTCATTTTAGTTAAATCTACTCAATCCAATGAACTCACTGCAAAGCCTTTCTTGTTTTTACATATCTGCTGTGCACTCCGTGAAGAATGCCCGTGGACTGGACCTTTGTGTATGGCCAAGAAAACGGAGCCCTTCCTCCTCCCTGCTTAATAGCCATATGTCAGGATATTAAAAGTTTAGAAATTGCATGTGCTACTGGATTTTTTAAATACTCCTTCAATCTTTTACAATCTGACTTTCATGAAACATTCCCTCCTTTTTGTGCTAAGATTATTACCCTATACTGTATAAATACATTAATATATATCATTAGATATTTGGTTGCTGAGTTCCTCATGTTGAAATTGTAGTACAAGCCAATCATTGTTTGGATTTCTTGATTAGGGTAGGTAGGAAAAGTTAAATGCTTACAAATTCCCGCAACAAGTCTGCCCCATGGAACTCCATGATCAGAGACATATAGGTTGCAGAATCATATAGATCATGAAGGTTTACTTGGCATTTCAAATCAGCATGACAGATCCGATTAGAGGCCACATTTGGGAACAGGACCAGGATTGACATGACCAGCAGGAGGAGGGACCCTGTTTGAAACAAAGCACAAGCATCTGGGACGATCTATTTGATGAGGTCATCACAAGCCATCCTGCCCAGGGAAGCCTTGTCTATGTCCACTGTCTCCAAGGCATGATTGGTGCTGTAAGAGCTCAGATAGGAAAGAACCAACACCTTCCTCTGTAGGCCTGTAGGTGAGCTACATTTTCACAGACTGAGTGGTGGGTGACTCCTGCATTTTCATATTGCTCCCACAAGTGCCTCTGTACTACGCAAATATTTGGAAATTAAATTAAATCTGATACAAGACTTTTAAACTCTGAACCTAGCATAGTTTAATATCCTGGGAAATTCTACAGTTGATCACCAGGAAGATTCTCAACGTGATTATAAGTCTTTATTCTATTCATAGCTATAAGCATCTTAAACAGTTAAATGGGAACAGTACATTTGATCTATGTTCCGTCTTCATGCTTGGAAGAACAAGCACAGAATTGCTCGGTTGCTGATATTGTGCATGAAGAGCATCCTACCATAAAAGTGACGCCATGGCCGGATCTGAGAATTCCTCACATGAACACTGTGCAGTTCCTTCACGCTTTGCTGATCACGTGAGATAGTTTTCCAAATTTAAACTTTAGGGTAAGCCAGGAAGATTGATTGAGGCTTTGTAATCATTGCCAGATATATTGAAACAAAAGTTTAGAAAAGTTCAATGCTTTTCCCTGAGTCCTACCATTAGCAGGTAGAGGAGGCAGCACACCTGCTTGTAACTTGCTTTTCATTTTAAAATCATTGGCTTGAGCAATACTAAGAAAGAAGCATGAAATTCACTGTGACCATTATTCTGCATTATGACTTCAGAATTGAAAGTTTTGTGTGGTTGAGTCAAGCTGGGCAAAACACTGAGTAGACCAAGGAAAAATAAAAGGTTGCTTTTGATTTTTTGGAATTCTGACAAATAGAACACATTGGCTTTTGGTCCAGAATAGCTCAAACTGAGCATTGTGGTGTTTTGTGCAAGATATTCTCTTGTTCTGAGATCACTCTTGTGCGTTGCACTGTGCATATCAGGACACAGGTCTCTATGCAAGAAATACTGATAGCACCCCGCCTGTGCCTCCATGACCTCCAATAATACACTGCAAAAGTTATTCCACTTTTGGCAAACGTCTAAATGCACCTTTAGAGGATCACTGAATCACTCTATTAACCCTGAGCAGTTCCTTTACACGTAAATAGTGAAACTACTTCTAAATCAATAAATCCAAAGCCTCTTGGTATCAGCTAATATGTTTTTCTAGTAACCCACACAAGAGCGTCCATGAAGCCAACAACTCCCTGCATCACTGCACATACCTTTGCCCTTGAGGTCCATGGTGGAGAGCAGGACAGGAAGCACACCTCACCAGAAAAGGACGGTCTGTGTCAAGTGCAAGATGAGATGTCAGTTTCTGCCTTTTGAAACTGTTGTGAATTCTTTTAATCAGACATTCTCCTTCCCTTCCTTGTCCTCTATTTCCATCAGCAAGATTGCGCCCTCAACTCCATACAGAAAACTTTACTTTGCATCTCACTTATATTCAGGAAGATATACTGGCCACAAAGGATAGATCTTGATTAATTAGCCCAAGAACAATTGAGACAGATGATGAAGGTGAGCTTCAGAGATCTCAATGAGTTGGAGAATCTGTAAAAATTTAAAGCCCTTTTCTGTAAGTTTGACTGTAATTTCTGTGCAGTTTCTAAAGTATATGTAGTGTTTTTCCCAGGAAATAGACTTTTGATTATCAATTATAAATTTTTTGCTTCAAGAAAGGTAGATAAATTATGTTTCAAAACCATGCAACATAAAAGTATAGAGTATAAAATCTCTAAAATAAGGTGTTTCAATTTTCTATTTTTCTTTGATCTGTACCTTCTACCTTCTCTCCTTCAATATGAAATATCTGTGTGATACCATGTCTAGTAATGTTTAGTAATATATATATTCATCTATTTCATACTATGGTCTTAAACATATAGATAAAATTTTATTATTTTTCTTAGAAGTCAGAATAAGAAAGACATATGAAAACACTATATACAGACAAAAAATTAATTATTCAATAGTCAAGTTATATCTGGAAACTTTGTTCCTTGTAGAAGAAGAGGCACGTATGTGTAGAAAGCAGAAAAATAAATCATTTTACACATGTTCTGGTGCAATCATATCTAAGGTTTACAAATTTTGCCTTTGACCTTAGTGAGCTTGATTTGATGCTACCACATGGTCCTTTTTTAATACCAAAACACAAACATAAAAACACATATTACAAATACCTAGTAAGCAATGTACTGAAGCATATCTTAACCAATAATTTCTATCATTCTCACGAGTACACAAGGATAACCTGCAATTGGCCTATGCTCAATCTGCCTTCTCAAGTCCAAGTCTGTAGGAAAAAATGACAAAATGCATCTTTTTGGACTCAAAGATCCATATATCATTTAAAATTTGTTATTACACGTATTTTTTAAAAAATAATAACTTTACTAAGATATGAAGCAAACTGACATTTCTGAAAAACAGTATTCTATTTGCCTGAGTTTAAGGATTTACTGGCTCTGTAAATTTAAAACCTTGGTCAGAATTCAAAACACCTTTATAGAGAATGGCTTTTTATTCTGGACAATGAAACTCTGAATTATTAAGAAGGCAAACCTGAGTGGAGAGTA